CCATTCTTCCTCTCTGGGAGATTTGGGGCATGTGTTTCAGAGAACACGAAGCCCACACTCCCAATCAGCTCAGGCTTGGAGGCCTCAGCTGCTGGGCCTGGAAACTAGGCCAGCGGGTGACATGCCACCCTAACATGCTGGAGACGCTGGTGTGCCATGTGGCGGCTCTTCTTCAGTAACCAAATGCTCAGAAAGCCCCCTATCACTCCCTCCCTGAGTAGGGGAAAAGGTGTGGCGAGAACAGTCCTGTGTCCTTAGACTGACCTAGGGCCAGCGCAACTCATCTCCCCCTCATGCTCCAGTCTGGCTTTCTGGCTCTCCCGTCTCATATTTTTATAGTTGCCAAATCCTCTAGGAAGAGAATGAGGTATGAAAAAAACATCAGCCCGTCTGGCGTGGCTCAGTGGTTGAGCATTGACCTACAGGAGGTTGGATTCCTAGTCAAGACACATGCCTGGGTTACGGGCTCGATCGCCAGTGGGGGGCGTGAAGGAGGCAGCTGTTCAATGATTCTCTCTCGTCACTAATGGTTCTCTCTTTCCTTCTCCATTTCTCTCTGGGAAAAAAAAAAAAAATCAGTCACCAAAGCTGAGTGCTGTGAACACAGGAGTTTCTTGCTGCCAGGGCCCCAGAGTGGGAGCTTGGCAGTCAGTGCTGGGCACACTGAATCTGCTGAGCAAGCAAGGACAGGGCCCAAGGTGGCATCCTACTCTTGGCTGTGAGCCACCCTTTTGCTGAGCTAGGTGGCTGGCAACTAGGATGACTTTCTTACCCATTTTACAAAGGAGGCCCCCCCGGGGGCCTGGGAGCAAGGGAAACTGTCACCGTTTCCCTCCATCCTGCTGTGACAGTGACCAGGGCGAGGGCCCACCTTCTGAGTGTTGCTAGCAAGGACTCAGGAGACTGGACAGACAGGAGGCATGCACTGCCCTAAAGCAAACACACATGCACTGGGGCTTGTGCCCCCCACATGGGCCTGCACACAGCTGAAACTATGGCCACTGCTGGCAGGAGGTGACCCTGGCCAGGAGTGTGAGCATGTGTAAGCATGACTGTGAGCATGTGCAAGCATGACTGCAAGCATGTGTAAACGTGACTGTGAGTATAAGTATAGCTGAGTGTGAATGCAAGCATGACTGTGCAAGCATGTGCACTTGTAAGCATGACTGTGAGTGTGTAAACATGAGCATGTATATAAACAGGACTTGCAAGTGTGTGTATGCATGATTGTGTGAGCATGTGCAAATATGCCTGTGAGTGTGAGTGTATGAGTCTGTGTGAGTGAGGGGGAGATGGCCGACTAAAAGCAGATAACTGGCTCCCAGACTGAGTGGACTCAGTGTCTGTCTCTGTGTCTGCCTCTCACACACACAGCTGTTTTTAATCACTGTGTTTTGTCACAGCTAAACCTTTCCCAAAGTGTAACAATATAACACAGTTGCTAAATTTCCAGTGAAAGCCTTTTCTCCCAACACTGCGGCTCCACCTCATCCTCTGTGAACTCCTTCACTGATCTCGGAGGTGGGTTGAATGAAATGATGGCATTGATCCCCTGATATGCCACATGATTAACCAGAAAATTGGCCCAAACTAAACGCTGCCTTTGGGGTGACATGAGAAATGATGGTCCCTCACTGCTCATCTCAGCCCTCCACCTGCTGGACTCTATACTTCCGTTTACACTGCTCCTGCAAAACGTTTGAGTTTTCACAGTCAGTTGTCACCAATAGTTGCAAATAAAGCCAAAACTGTTCAATAAAATGGCTCTTGGGAGCAATGTGGGCCTCGGCACAGCGCTGGTCTCCTATTGTAGGCTGTGCTCTTGCCTCTCTCCTGCCTCTCTCCCCACCAGGTGGCTATGTTGGCCACAGCTGGCTGCCCGTTGTGTGCACCAAGTCGTCCAACACGCCGTACATCAATCCACTTCAAAGGCCGCAGGGCAGAGAAGTGGGGCTCTGTCCAACTTTCTTGCATTAAAAATATTTTTAAGAGACCTTGATAAACCAGTGTTTCCTGCTTTTTGATGTGTGTAAGTAAAGGAACAATTTCTTGTCAGAAGAGTGAAGCAGGAAGAAGGGACAGGCCCTAGTTGAAAGCTCAGTTCTCTATTGTTATTTTAAAATAACTCGAAGAATCAAAAAGGTTTGGGATGGTTTAAATACATAAGTCAGTTAGTTGCCTTTTAACTTTAGCTAGAAAGGGAGAAGGTTGTTTTATGTGAAGAAAGGCTAGGTGAAATTCTATGAGCACTTTAAAAAGCACACTGGCATTTTATTTGGGAATATTCAAGCATATCGCTAACCCGCTGACCAGGCATGAGATGCCACCAGGACCTTTGATCTGCTTGTGACCTGGCTTAAAATGAACACTATCCACAACAAGCAAGGGGGCCGGGGAGTGGGGGCTGGCTGGAGCGCCATAGGGCCTGCACGGAGCTGGGACCACACTACTGTCTCCTCCAGCCTGAGCACCTTCACCACAACTGCAGAACCAGGAAGCATGCTGGATATGGGGCCACACCTCTGTTCCCTGAGCCCAGCAGAGGGTTACAGAATGGGTTCAGGATCCCCCCACCCCAAGGATGGTGCACTCAGTCCACCCTCCTTAGGACTGGCCCTTGAGAGGGGCAGATAGAGCTATAGCCTTCCTCCCAGGTGCCCACTCCCCAAGGCACCTGGCCTGGCTCTCCTCTGCAGGCCATCTCACAGGGAGGACACACACAGCTTCCTATGGACCCAACCCCACATCAGGTCATTGTCACACTCAGCTGGGCTGGGGCCCGGACCTGGGTGATACCTCACCTTTGCTTCCACATGCCACCTGTCATCTCTGTCCCTCCTGAGCCTGGCAGGGCACTGGCCATACCCCTCCTCCTCCTGCCCACAGCCTACCTTCTGTCAGTTCATGCAAGTCACAGGGAATAACGCGGACTGGGAACAGCTTGAGGACAGAGTGCTACCTCACATCACAGGAGACCTCTCTGCAACTGGCCATCTCCCCAGTGTGGCGGATGTAATGAAGTTCAACATGGAGCTTGGAGCACCTGCTCGGAGCCCCACTCTGCATCTCTCCACATGCCTTATGGGCCCTGTCAGCTGTGTTTCAGGGGTGTGGGGTGGGTGGGTCTTAGAGGGCAGCCTCAGGACCGGCCAGGGTGGGCTCCCAGTGACTGCCTCCGGGGTCCCTCTCAGGCACTCAGCCTCACAGGCCAGAAGCTGGGGACAGAGCCCCACTGAGCAATGAACTTATGAGGGTGCCGCACCCAAGATGGGCCTTAACAGGAGCCTTGCGCTCTTGGTGTTGACCAGCAGGAGGGCAGCTGCAGAGGTGACGGCCCCTGACTGAACACCTGGTAGCCCTGACCCAAGTGAGGAGTGTGCTCAGTCACCGTGTCTGATGGGTGAGGGAGATGAGTCCCAGGGGACGGGACGGCATGAGAGCAGGGGCCCTGGCACCTCTCTGTGTGGTTGGGCCTCTAATCTAGGGCACTCACCGGAGCTCCCCAAACACCAGCCAGCTCATCTCTAGGACCCATGTGTGACGTTCAAAGCAACAAGAGAAACTACACTAGGGAGATCCTGAACCCGCTCCATGAGCCTCTGATGGGCTCAGGGGACAGAGGTGTGGCCCCATATCCAAAGGCCTGTGGGTGAATTTAAGGTTTCAGGAAGTGTGGCCACTCAGCGGGCTGGACATCCTGGAGGCATCCCTCCTATCACCCTGCCCTCCCCTGGCCCACACTGGCCTGGAGTGTAGCTCTCCCCGCGGCTCTCCTCCAACCTCGCAAGCTGCCTCCCCTGGTCTAGATCCTTGAACCCCTTTGGTCCAGCTACTGCGTCTCCCTGACTGTGTCCTGGGCCTCAGTGGGGACACTGTGCAGAGCCGGACCTGGTGTCTGTGAGCCCAGAGGCAGAGGCCTCTCACTCAGGGCCCGAGACTCTCAGAGATGCCACTCCTGGAACCTGCCTTAGAACCCTCTGGGAACTGACGGTTTCTGAAGGAGGAAACTGACAGTCCTCTCCAGGTGACTCACACATGAAGGTGAGCCCCTTCAAAACACAGGACCCTGAACCATCTTTTTAAGAGGAAGGGTTCTTGATGATCCTTTTGCTCACCTCCTTGTGGCCATAATCAAGCAGTTTTGTCAGATGTGTTGCCTGAGTGGGGGTAGGGGTGGGGGAAATAAAAAACCGAGTGGGAAGCAAGTGAAGTGGCCCATACACTGGGTCTGGGTCTGGAGCCTGCGTGCAGCAGCCATGGGCCTCCGGTCCTCCTACCTCGTTTCCCAGCAAAGCAGAAACACATGCTTCCGAGGCGTCACAAATGGCCGTGAGGTCGTGGCCCCCCTCCAGGGCCAAAACTATCCGGCCGCCAGCCAAGCCCATCAGCTGCTTCGTCAGGTACCCGAAACCTGCAACGGGAAAATGGAGATACAAGTAGAGGGCAGGGCAGGTGCAGGGCCGACGCTGGCAGCAGATCAAAGCGCCCAGAAGTGCATTACATCACATTACAGACCCAGGGGGCTGGCACACCGCGGCTCATAATGGAAGCCAGGTTCGATCGCAATAAATTCATCGAGGAATTCGGTTTGGGATCCTGTTTGATCTGTGTGAGAGCAGGAATTACGGTTTCAGTGCTTTGATTTCATAATGCTGCAAATCACCTCGTTTGGGGGGATGGGGATGGGCCCCCAGGCTTTCTCACATGGGGACCAGAGGCCAGGAGACAGGGTGCCTGGAGCAGGGCAGCTGTGGGCAGCCTTGGAGGCACGGCCATGCCCAACCCTGAGGCCAGGGGTTCTGGTTAGGGGGTGTGCTGGGCATGAGCACACACTCCGGCACACACATCAATGCTGCGTGTGCCCCTCTAGGACTCTGACATCCGTGTCTGGCTTTCATCAACAGCCATGTTCCCTCCGTTGCACCCATGTCACCCTCCCACAGGCAGAAACGCCTGACGGGTAATGACAATTACCACCTTTGGCCAGAACAGCCTGACAGTTATTAAAGAGCCTGTGAAAACCATGCCATACTGGTCAGCAGCCCCAGTGCCAGGTGGCCATCGGCAGACCCGGCCCCATGCTGGCAGCCATGGGCACTGTAACCTCCTAAAGCCCTGGGTTGTCTCTGATGGAATCAGGGACACAGGCTCCAGGCTGCTTGGTCACTTCCTCATCACTAAACCACACTGCCCAGGTTCAGGTGGATCTGAGGGGTCCCGCACTGGAGCACGGCTACGCCAGCATAGGCCTTGGTTTGACCTCTTTCTTCTCTGGTGACCCACACTCTCCCTGTGGGAGGGGAGAGACGACAGGCTCTCCTTGGCCATCCGCACCCATGGGGTCAGCACGAGGGGCCCCCAGAGTGTCCTGGGAGAGTCCCAGGACCTAGATTTCTGTGACCACCACAGCTGCGGGGGGGTCCTCAGGCTCTCGGGTTAACAGCCGAGGCAAAGCTTTCCTGCTCACTGCCCGCCCAGGCCTTTCTGTGGACCAAGGTTCCACGCCAGGAGGTCTCTGATGTGACTTGCTGTGACAGCATAAGCAGAGGCCTCACCCTTGTGGGAAGGCGATTTTCACAGGACTCCCTCCCATAATGAAAGCAGGGCCTTCATCTAATGCAGTGGTTCTCAACCTTCTGGCCCTTTAAATACAGTTCCTCATGTTGTGACCCAACCATAAAATTATTTTCATTGCTACTTCATATCTGTAATGTTGCTACTGTTATGAATTGTAATGTAAATATCTGATATGCAGGATGGTCTTAGGCGACCCCTGTGAAAGGGTCGTTCGACCACCAAAGGGGTCAAGACCCACAGGTTGAGAACCGCTGATCTAATGCAAATCCTTAGATGAGCGCATAATCTGGGGCTCCCTGCTCCCTCCAATTCTGAACTGAACCTGCTCTCAGTTACCCCCCTCACAGGCTTTAGGGTCTGTTCCTACACTCAGTGTGGGCGACCACACCAGCTCTCAGTCAAACTGGAGACCTGGCCCCTAGAGTGACCTGTATGCTCCCAGCTGAGCATGAGCCCCCCAGGTCAGCACTGTCAGTTGCATGACCTTCAGTGAGGAGTGCCTGCGGCCTCATGGTCCACACCATCCTGCTGCCTCCATCGGTTTTCTGGGGCTGCCCACACTGTCACATCTCTAGAAATGTCATTGAAGGGGAGATGTGAGACACAGCACAGTTGGCCACAGAGACAACAGGTCCCGTTAAGCTCCTGAAAACCCGACTTACATTTGGCAGAGAGGTTGTAGCCGCCCAGAGGTGTGGGGTGGCCCTCCACGGCGTCGAAACCTGCTGACACCAGCACCACATCCGGGGCAAACTCGTTTGCGATAGGCATGACCACCATTCTGCAAAGGGTAGGAGAAGGCAACACTGAGGCAGTGGGGACACAGATGGGGAGGGCTGCTTGGTCACTGAATGTACCTGCCACAGTTCCCCTCAAGGTTAGTGGGCTGAAGACTCCCATGGAAGCTGGGATCTGACGATTTCACAGTATCTAAAAAGTCCAAACCAACAAGGCCCTGTATGAATGCTTAGGGCGAGCTATGCACTGGTGGTTTTGTAGGAGGCTTTTGCTGCAGACCGTGGAGGTGGTCTGTAATGCCCAGCACCAGCTGCACCAACATGGGGAAGTGGAGCCAGCTACCAGGGCTGCTAAGAGTCCTCCCCAAAGGTGCGGATGGCTCTGCTCACCTTACACTGGCCCTGATTCAAGATGGACACAGCCATGCCCCTGGCACCAGGGACACAGAGCCGTGTGGCTGAGGAGGTGGGAGAGCCCTTCAGCAGCCCTGGCCCTGAGGGAGCCCTCCTACCTCCTTCCACTCACCCCCAGGGCCATGTTAGCAACAAATGACCATACGCACACTTGCAACAGTGCTGCATTGGGTTAGTTAAAAAGGAATTCTACACTTGAGATTTTTAAAGGGAAAACTGATGGTCACATTAAAGAGAATTGATAATTAAAAATACACACACCACTGAGAGGTCTGGGGTTAAGTTATATGAGGGAAAGAAGGAAAAAGATTTACTTGAATACAGAAAAAACACTGAACACAAAACCACCACCTGGGAGCCTGCAGTGTAAAGAGGTCAGTGTGTCCTTTAAACATGTGCTTTGTGTTTTGATTGAAGAACTATTAAATTTGGAACTCAGCAGTGGCACCTGCCATTTAAGCTTGTTTCTCAGACTCTCCTTCCTCCGTCTGTAGATGAGGTGGGCAAGGTGGGCAGAATCTCAGGCGCTTGGGGCCCATGTCCCTGAAGTGGACAGAGGAAGGTGGACATGATGATCTAAATGCGCCGGGAGCCTCTGCTGATGCGTTGCCCAGCCCCATGGGGGAAGTCCAGCATTCACAATTTCTCTGTCTGTTTCTTAGAGCAGCTCAAACAGTTTCTGCTGCACCAAAGGCTGCTCGGTGCTCCCGCAGCTCACCCAGAGACTCATCTCTGAGTCCTGGTTCCCTTCACTTGGAGCTTCAGAGGCCCTCGGGGGGAGGAGGTCACAGGCACCAGGCATGGCCCATGGTCCTTCCCCACGGCAGAGCCCTGGGGACACCATGGCCAAGGACTTTTATTACAGAATGAAATTGCCATTTAAGTCAGCAGAGTCAACTCCATAAAGTACCAACTTTGCCAAAGGACACAAACATGCTCAAAATTAAATGTTCCTCTACTCTGGAACTACCCTGGATTGCGATCCCATTGAAAAGCCACCTGGTCTCCGGTGAAAGGAGTGATGAAAACCCACCACATGTCTCTGCAGGACCCAAGCTGCAGAGCACCCGGCCCTACTCTGAGAACACGCGCCACCCAGCGCTGAAGGACCCCGAGCCAGCGCTTCCTGCAGGAGCGTGGGCTGAGCCATGTGATTTCATCTGCTCCAGTTGGGGCTGAGTGCCTGCCATGGAAACAGGCACTGGCAGCTGAGAAACTCGCTTCTGGAACCTCACACTGGAGTCACAGCAGACAGATGAGGCTGGGTTTTGAACAGTTTGCTGCATTCCCTTTTCCAAGGCCAAGCGCAGTTCATAAACTTCCCCAGGAAGCACCTCTGCACTAGCCTCAGGGTGTGTGCCCTGGGCACCGTCCATCAGGGTCCAAGGAACAAAACACAGGATCTGGACGGGCTTGGCTAGCTTTCAGTCTGCGGGCCACACGGCCATGTGTGAGCTGCACGGCCATGTGTGAGCTGCACCATGTGAACACACTAGCATGACGGTGCCCCAGTAAAACTTGACTTAAAACACATGGTGGATTTGGCACGAGGGCCCCACTCTGCCAGCCCCTGCCCACACCTGTCATTACAACCATGGTGATGCTATTCAATGCCCGGCACCAGTTCCAGATTTTAACATGTTTCATTGTGTCTATGGGGACGTGGTAACCAAAGTTCACAGATTCTGTGAATGCAAAGGGGTGTCTGTTACACAAAGCACATGCTCCTGAGCAGGCACAGGGCTGTGTCAACAATCCTGCCATGACACCACCCCGTGCCCTGGAAGCATCATCCACACAGATGGGCCTGTGGACGCCTCCTCTCTTGAGGTGCCTGGAAGCTTGGGCTGCCAGTGCTACCTGTTCTCCTCAGTCTTCCTTCCATAGCATGTGCTTCCTGTTCCTGTAGATGTGTAACACGTGTCTGCAGCTGGGACATTCCTGTGTGCTGGAGCGGCCAGACCAGGAGCAGCAGTTGCCACACTGACAGGCCGCACCCCCCTCCATGCCCCGTCTTATAGGAGGTGGTTGCCTTCCACACTGACGGCACCATTTCAACAATCAGCATTGTGATGACTGAAAATTCCATTTATTATATACTGTGACTTTGGTGTTTTGGGTCCCATCTTTTGAGAAAGCCACAAAAACCATGTTTGTACCAGAGCTACTGGGCCAGTGGCTGGAGCAACTGTCCATCAAGTATTTGAACTCTACTGAGAGAATCAGAACAAACATAGAAATTACGGGAACCCATCTGCTCTGGCCTGGCTGCCACCGGTGGTGATGCCCACAGCCCTGCCCTGCTCCTGTTTACCCACAGGCATGGTGGCCAAAGAAGGTGCACAGACAGCTAGGACACAGCTAGATCTGAGACTGGTCTGAGCTCCCCTCACACTGAGAAGACCAGTCCCCTCCAGAACCTGCTGCCTGCACCTGCAGTCCCCCTCCCTCATGCTCTGAAACCGGGGGCCCATTTGCTCCCAGCCTCCTCACCTCTCAGAGGTCATCCTGGTGAAGTGGGCACAGCCCTCCCTCCCTCCTGTAGCCTCCGTGGGGGTGGAGGGATGCCTTCCCTGGGCCCCTGGGCCTCTTGACTCTAACCTATTCTCACCCTTCCCCTCGCTGCCTCTCTTGCCATGTCATGCTCCACAGGCTTCTCCATACCCCACCTGCCACCACCACAGGAGGCCTCAGGCCCATGCAGGATCCCTCCCTCATGGTTCCCACGGCCTCACTGACACTGTCCTCAAGGCCACCTCCACTGCCAGGGCCCTTTGCTGCTTGAAGCTCACCTTGGCCTCTGCCTCACTCTGAGCAGGGCCCCAGCTTCCCCACTGGGCACCAGCCTGCCTCCGAGCCTGTGTCTTCCCCCAGCTCCTGTCCCCTCCCCCAGGTCCTCAGAAGAGCAGTGTGTTTGCTGTCTCTTGTCCCCACCTTCCATTCATTCACTCCTGTGCATTCTGTCTTTACCCCTTCCAACTGTCTTCCCTGAGTCACCAGTGGCCCCCTACCAACTGCTAAATAGAGGGACACTTTCCAGCTGTTTCCTGGAAATCTGCTAAAACACCATTGACCCCACTACGTTGTCCTCACTGACCCTGTTGTGCCGTCCTTCGCCCAGCTCAGACCTGCTCCTCTTGATTCTCTGTCCACTACCCCTACCCTCATCCACCAGCACTTGAGCCCCCGCCCCCTCAGTTCTATCTGATCACCAACATTTTCTGAGGTGGCCCTTCCCACCCTGTTCCCCATCCTGGTCAGGGGTGCCATCCTTCCCTGGGCTCGTCCATGGAATCTAGTGCAGTCTACCCATCCTGGAACCAACTCTGTCACCAAACTGCCACGAGATAGCCATCAAACATGCAGAACACACCGCCTTAGTCACCTGGTCAGAGCCCCGGACACTCACAGTCAGAGTCATGGTCCAGCTCCCGGGAAGCAGCCACACAGCCTGGACTGGCTCCTGTGGGAAGCCCTGTTCCCCGACACCCATGCCAGCTCACTCCTGCAAGACTTGTGAGTGGGCACGGGTACATGCACCTGCTGCAGCCCTGTGGTCCTCGCCTGAGTCACCTAAGGGGGCAGGCACTGCATGGATCGCTGTTCCATTCCCGCCGCCCAGGGCAGGGCAGTTGGACATGAGACTGCCCAATTCTGAGTTTCTAGCTTACATCTTTGCTTCTAAAATCACCGCAGAACGTCCTCGGGTAAAATTTAGAGACATGTTGAAGAGACATGGAGAGAACATGGAATGTCATGGATATTTCAACACAACAGAAAAGTTAGAAAGAAGCAAAACACACCTTAAGGACATAACAAAAGTCAGAAGTGCCACAACCTGACGCCATGCCCGAAAGGCCAGGGAAGGCAACATGAACCAGCCCGGCTGTTCAATCGCTGGGTCACTGCAATTACCACTTTGGGATGTGCAGGTTCCCTGACACCTCTCAGACACTATGTCACAGTGAAATCCAAATTATGACATCAGAGTACGGACAATCCCGATTTCACTTCCTCACTGCTGATAAGTGGACCTGCTGGGCTGCCAGCCGCAGGTAAGCGAGGGGTTAAGGAAAGTGCACCATTATCTCCTCCAGCCCAGGCCCTCAGCTCCTCAGCCAACTTCAAAGCCTCACCCCACTGGTTTGAATTAGGCCCCCTTTTCTCCTACAAGCCTCACGCCCCAGGAGAAAGCACCGCTGCTCCTGGATTTCATTAGGGGCCGTTTTCTTATCTCCTCTTCATCGCAGGCTTGATCTCCTGAAATGCAATGTGGCAGGCAGGGTCTGAGGAACACAGTGCTCCATCTGAGGCACGCACTGTCCGCGGGGCCCCAAGGGGAGCAGCACAGAAGAAAGGGGAAAACGGATCCTGACCCTCTTCCCCCTCCGACGATCAATGCCCAGGGAACTATAAATTGTAAACTTCAAAGTGCTATTTTACATTAAAATCAATAAAAAAAAAAAACCCGACACAATTTTCCTTTTCAAAGAAGTTATTTAAGCTTTAAAAAGCTCATTTGATAAGGTATCATCATGTACACACTTGGCAGGAGATTAAAACAGAATGTCGACAGCAACTCAGAGGGAAAGGCTCATCTTAAAGGCTGGCCTGGGGAGGGGGACGACTTTCAGGGCCACCTAACTGCCCCTCACCCTGCCCACCACCAATGAAATGCCAGAGGAGGTGCCAACACGTCCGCCTAGGATCGGAGTGCACAGGGCACTGACAAGCTGCAAGTGCCAATCCAGTCAAACCTGGCCCGAAAAATGGTCTGAAAGAAGAGAGACTACCCAGTTTTTACCAGTTTAAAGAAAGTTTTGCGTTCTCTGACTACACCAGGTGTGGGCTGTGTTGTGCCCTGGTCCCCTGGGTGGCACCAACATTCACTTGGGCACTGTTTACACCCTCACAGTGGCATCTGGACACCTATTTCAAAAGGAACCCCCTGAGAGGGCCGGTTCTCAGGCAGGAGGGGACAGTGATACCCAGTGGCTGTTCCATGCACATGCAGCGACTGCCCAGGTGGGTTCAGATTTCATGAAGCTGATATTTAACTGTGCACATGAGAAAATTGTCAGATGTTTTGGGGCCTCCTTCTCTCTTAAATTAGGCAGGGTAATTATCAAAATTCCACGATATTTGATAGAGTAAGAAGAAACATCAAAATTAGACCAATGAGGCCAGGAGAAAAAGTAATTCGGTGCCAATCAGGGTAGGTCTTCCAAGAGGCAACTGGCTCCTATTTTCACAGACCACTTCTGTTGTTGGAGCTGCTGACCGAAGACCTCTCCATTGCAGGCCCCACACGCCTGCTGACCCTGGGGACTAGGATCCTGTCCTGAGGTGAGCGAGCAGATGCTGTGAAGGGTCCTGTGACCCACACAGGTCTCACTGGGACGTGAGGCAGAACCCTCAGCAAAGCTTTGGCCAGATGTGTCCTTAATGAATCTCAGCCTCCAGAGGAGGAGGTGGAAAGTCACTGGGGATGCCCTGGGGTACCAACTCCTGGGTTTTCTGAGATGGTCAGACTTCACCATTGACCAAAACTCTCCTCCTCTTGCGGGCCCTGCCCCACCCTGAGCTGCCCATTCTACCATTTTAACGTCAACAGAGGCCACCTGTGCTATAGGAATTACTTCAGTCTGGCCCAGATCAAACCAGAAATCACCATTTGATGACAAAAGCAAACACTGAGGCTCAATTCTAGGGCCCAGAATAACACCAAGCAAGTGCATGAATGGGGAGGCCATCTAGTTTATCAATAAAGGAGGAAGATCTTTTTCTGTCTCCCGTCTTCTCAAAGAGGTTTCTGGAAGCTAAGTCAGGAGACCACAGCCTTCCAGATTTGAACGCCCACTTTTCGTTAATACACCTCTGACCCCTTCACTGAACCATTGGGACCCAAAGGGCACAGCCTGGAGCTCTGCAGACAAAGGTCAGAAGACAGCCTCAAAGATTCCACCTTCAGCTTAAACAAGGAACTGAGAACGCACGCTAGGGCCTCAGAGCATCGCCCCTCCACATGCAGGATAGAAACATCTGTCTCTGGAAGGTGTACCTGGGGGATGCTGGAGGGTCCTCCTGAGAGGGGTCTGGGTGCTTATGAAGGAGGGTGAGGGTTAAAGTCAACAGGAACTGAGACATGGGGGTGGAGTTCCTCGAGGTCCCTAAATGCCCGTGGACAGGAAGCCAGGACAGTTACCTGAAGGCTGCCAAGTACTCTGCATCTCCCATGGGGGGGTCAAGGCCACCAGTGAAAGCCATGTTGACGTTGAAGCCCACGCCCGGCCCTGTGCCCACCTGTGGGAAGGAAACATGTGTCAGACCCTCGACAGACCAGCCCTGGTGGTCCCACAGCAGAGCTGTGGCTGTGCTCCTCATGAGCTGTCACTGGTCCCTACAACCCCTGACATGCTGACTCCGATTACGGCATGCTTTCCCAGAATTTGGGGCTCTCGCCTCGCCCACCTGACCTGTGGGTGCAGTGGGGACCACCCTTTCCCTGGGCCCTGGATGAACTGCAGCTCTGTGCTGAGTGACAGACACAGGCCAGCAGAGGGCCACTAGGAAATGCCTGCAGACGAGCTGCCCTTTCAACTTCCTTCCGGGAAATAAGATCTGGAGGTGGAGCAGCTGTTTCCTAGGGTGGGATTCCCCACTGCTGGGGCCTCCACAGGCTTGGCTGGAGCTGAGGGTGTCATGAAGGCTCTGAGCCTGTCGTCCTGGGGCCCACTGTCTGGCACCACAGGTGAAATCAGAGCACAGTCAGCCTGCCCGAGGGACTGGACAAGAGCATGGCCCGCATAGCAGCCATTCCTGGAGGAAGAAGGGCACCCTGCTTCCTGCTCAGGAACACCTCTGTCGGCCTAGACTGGAATGGGAAACGGTCTCCAGGCCTTCACTTACACATCAGACAAAAGTCAGGCTGCTGTGCACATACGGGATGGAATTCAGGCCAATGTCTGCCTCAAGTCACCTTTTGGGGTTTCCATGAGTGGGTAGCCCTTGCTTCTGCTGTGCAGATGTCCACTCTGTCTCCAGGGTAGCCCTGCCTTGACCTCCTCCCAAAGTCCTGCACACCTACAGGAGGCCCCGAGTACCTCGTCAGGCGCCCCACTGCCTGGGAAGAAGTTGCCGTCGTCGTAGCGGTGCAGTGAGATGTAGAGGACATTGGGGTCGCTGTAGAAGGCCTGCTGGGTCCCATTTCCATGGTGCACATCCTGAGAACAGGGAGAGCGGACTCAATCTGGGCCATGCCAGGATATCTCCTAGGCTCAGTGCCCCAGCAGCGCAGCCAGGCCACTAACTTCACAGGGATGCCAGCCCCCTGCCCCCGGACTCAGTCAAAGGGCCCCAGGGACCAGAAGGAAGGGTCCCAGGACTGTGCCCGAATTCTTAGCACCAGAATAGACTGCAGGCTTTTGGCAACAAAAGGCTGGTGTTTCAACCCTGCCTGGAGGCTAGTTTTCCAGATCATTTGACTAATTTCTTGCTTGGCTGTGTTTGTGAAAAGTGAGCCACTTCCTCCCTCCTCTGACCATGGCTGCTGATGTTCGAGCACATGCGAAGTGTCAGCTCTGTGCCTGATGCTGGGGTAAGCGGTGGGGGTGGGGATGGGAGGAGCGGGAACACGGGGCAGGCCTACCCCACAGGCTGAGTGGCAGGTGCATAAGGCACCCAGCACTGTGGGCCCAGGTCCCAAACTAAACTGACAAACGACTTCTCCTAATCACAATGGGTGGCCAGGCTTCCACCAGGCCCTAGGCCCCACTTCCTTGGCCAGGACCACGAGGCCACCGAGAAGGGGCCTGCTTCACACAGTGTGCACATGAGGGGCTGCTTGCATGTCCGTGATTGGGAATACCAGAGAACTGCTTAGTATCCTTCTTTATAAAAGTCATCTGTGCTCATTACAGAAAACACGGGACCACAGTACAAAAGGAGTTGTGAGAAACAAACACGCAGTCCCAGCCACCAGGAACCGCTGATGCTATGCAGACAGGCGGCAGGTGCACACCACCTGTACCCTGTGGGACACAGCAGCACATGCCTCAGTGAGGTTCCCTGAAGGTTCTGCACAGGTCACCAACTTTTGCTAACTGCTACAGCCATGCCTGCGCTGATCACACGGCTGAGCTGTTCTAAATCACATGGCACCTGTCGCCTCCCCAGCATTTCTAGTTATTCCGTTTAGGAGCAACTAAGGGCTCAGGGACATAGGCGCCAGGCACACTGCAGCCAGTGACTCTGTTTTCACTGAGGCCACATAAGTCACGCGACCTCAGCCACCTAAGTGCTCCTGGATCTCTGTGACCAATGCCCACATCTGGGAGCTTGCCGGGTATCCTGAGTTATGTTTTGGTTTTTCTTATCTAAAGTGACAGGACTTTGCATTATAAGTCATACTCCTACCTGGTGTACCTAACTTTTTTCCTGAAAATTTTATAAAATTAATCATAAATACCCAAGAGAATACCCTTTACTCCCCTCCCCGCCCAAAGAATTAAGGTAACACCTTGACTATCCACTTCTAGTACCAGAACCCATGACCCTGATTGTGGAGTTCAGAGGTCACAGCGTTTCTAACTACAGCTTGCCCTTTGGGGCACTGGGATTATGAGAAGTGGCACTTCCTACAGGGAATGGGGAAGGAACGTAAAGCAGCACAAACTGGGTCTCCGGTGCCGGTGCCAAGGCAAGAAGGGCGCTTTCTCACAAGGGAAGCTGCACACTGGTCCAGGGGAGAGTGCGGCCTGTGCTCTCAGACGGAGGCACCTGGTGCAGGCTGCACCATCTCCTCCTAAACCTGCTTCTCAGCGAGGTTTTGCCAGAGTTTCCCCTAACCACTGGCACATTTCTAGGCATTTTGGGAACCCAATTATCGGCAGGATCATCTATTGAAGTTGTGAAATAAATCCGTAACAGGTCTGGGCTTTTATTTTCCTAATCTTTGAGATAGTTTCCAGAAGCTAAGGTCCCCAAATCTAGATGTCTCAGGAGGCAGAAATGCTTTCCTTCTCCCTCTACACAGGACAGTCTTCCTGCGAGAATCACAGCTCCCCCAGCCCTGGCCTGGTGAAGGAGGCCCCTTACCCAGTCCACTATGAGCGTCTTGCTCACATTCAGTCTCTGTTGGAGAAGCCTGGCTGCAACAGCCACGGAGTTGAAGTAGCAGAAACCCCTGCAGGTGAGAATCAGGAGAAACGGAGAAAAAATATAGGATTGGATCAGGTTTTGTTTTGTTTGTTGTTTTTTTTTTGTTAAGATTTTTTAGAGAGAGAGGAAGAGAGAGGGAGAAACAATAGATGAGAGAGGTAAACATCCATGAGCTGCCTCCTGCACGCCCCATACTGGGGAGCGAACCCACAACCTGGGTAAGTGCCCTGCCCAGGAATCAAAAGGGCCACCATTCAGTGCACAGATGACGCCCAACCGAGCCACACTGCCCAGAGCTAGATCAGTTTTTACGTAACTTTGCAAAAGAACCATCAAGAGTTTAAGAGGGTCTGGTGAATGTACAGTTTCTAATCAAGCAGTTTGAGAACCTTACTTGATGCTTATGATTGACAGACCAGTCTCCTGTGTGCAGATGGCCAGGCTCCCTGTAAGAAAATCCATTTCATTTTGTACCAACATCTCGCTCTTACTGGCCTCTCAAGAGACACCATGGGCCACAGAACACAGACGTGTGACCTAGTTTAGTTGCTCACTGCCAATCTTTCCACGTTCTAAGACATACGACAATGATGTATACAGGCACCCCACTGACTGACTGTAATTCCAGAGTCTTATTCAAGAGAGCAAGAAAAGCTAAGAAAGTGATCCAGGTAAAAATGAAAGTCTTCTCAGTCTAAATCTGTTTTTGTGGAATTTCCACAGAACCGGGTGGCCTGCTGTTTTGCTGCTGGAATCCAGGCGGCAGTCTGGGAGCCGCCCCCTAGGATATGTGGCTACAGCTCGGTGCACAGCAGAGAAACTGCACTGAAAACACCTCTGTCACCCACTGCAGTCATTTGGGTTTACTACTCAGAATATCCAACACTGAGATTCAAGCTAGAAGTCACTCTGAGCACTGAGACAAGGCCCTGCTCCCAGGTGGCCTGGAGTGAGTGCTCTGGGCCATGGGGCAGCCAGCGACTTCTCAGGTGAGGCTGCAAATACTCCAATCCACATCCACCTCCTTCTTCCTACACAAAGATGATTCCTTCTGAAACTCTGCTCTGACTCCCTTACTCCGGATTTGAAATGACAGGAGGTCCTTTGGGTATCACGGATTAGTCTGTGGTCCCACTGTGGTCTAGTGGCTTTATGAGGGTGTTGCCCTCCCTGCCCTTCCTGGCTCCACCTGACAGTGCTGTCTGCCAGGTGACATACCACGACTCATTCTTCAAGGCACAGCCCCAACATCACCTCCTCCTAACTCACCTGGGCTGTCTCCTGGCCAGGGGAGGCCACCGTGTTCACTGGGGTGGTTTCCTAGCCCAGTGAGAGGGCACCTCACCTTGCAGGCAGCAGAGGCACTCTGCACAACACCTGAGGCTAAGTGAGTCCTTGTGACCTTGCCCCAGGTGAGTGTGCACCAGTCACTGACTCTCCATGAACACGATGGATTGGACAATCCATACATCACATGCACCACCTCAGCCACCGCCTCAGAGGCGCACAGTCAGGGGAATCCGAACCCAGAACAAAGTCCAGGGAGCGGGCCGTGAGGTCATAACCCAGAGCCTTCAGCTTCATCATCACCATACTGTAAGCAGTTACCTGAGAGGTCATACTGAAAACAAGTGGAGGGTTTGACCCTGAATGCTCAGTAACAAGGACGGGCCACATGGACTCATCTATACAATGTGAGCTTTCTCTCCCAATTTTTTGCAGCACACTTAACAACTGACTTGTCTAGACTAATTCTGTGGGTTCCTTTCCTTCCTTTCCATTCTCCGATTCACCTTTTCATCACAACCATCAGCAAAGTCGACCTTTGACTACAGAGCTGCTCGGTTAGTCACTCATGCTAGATTGGAGACACTTGGTGTGGAAGACATGCAAGCACATTCCACATCACAGGAGGTTTGGCAGGTGGCAACTTTAGTCCTTTAAGGAGTCAGACACCAGCCCCTCCCCCACCTGCAGGGCCCATGTGTCTACTTACATGGGCGTGCTCTCCTCTGCGTGATGTCCTGGAGGGCGGACCACGGCAAAGCCATTCTACACACAATACGAGACATGTGGGGGAAAATAGGGAGGAAAGATTGGTTTCACGTCAGTGAGAAAATCATACAAACTGAATGGTTAGCAGACTCAGAGGACACTCGAGGATGTGGATTTATGCGGAACCCAGGGCATAGATAGGAACAGGATAAAGGGCTGACTGCAGCATTGCTGAGATGGCTAGTCTACAGGCGATTGTGGTTACTAAGGGAAAGTTATCCCTGACTTTCTACCTTTGCTGGCCTGCTGGCCAGGGTGGACACTGCTCAGTGTGCGATTCTGGGAGGGCTGGAGAGAACCCTTAGTGCAGGACTCTCCAGGAAGCAACCTGACGGGGTCCCTGGATGTAGATGAAATAGAAGGGGCTCGCTGTGGGGCAGATGTCATGTCCCAGTTTGGCCTTGACATGAAGGTCTGTCATTATCACTGCAGCTCAGTATACAGGGGAGTGGGCCACGTGGAAAACAAGCCCATCAGCACCTGGGAGAAATATCTCAGAAGCTGGGAGCTGCACAACCCTGCCTTCTGTTAGAACCTCTAGGTTAGGTAGGCTTTAAAAAACCATCTACTTTAAAGACTCTGTAGCTGCTGTACAATGTACAATGTATACACTGCACAGGATGTATACACTGTATAGGATGTGTGCACTGAACAGAATGTATACACTATAAAAACAGTCTCCACGAACATCTCTTGGTCTCACCAGCAACAGGAAGCTGTGTGGTCAGTCTATACACTCAGTAGACAGACCCATCTCCCTGCACACAGACTCTGTGCAGTGGTGTTAAGAGTGCAGACCACAGACCCTGGGTACCCCGTGCCCCTCCAGGGGCAGCTGTCATAATGACCTTAACCTTTCCTACCGTGCTGGCCACTGTGTGGATGCACTGGTGGGCCCACTGAGAATGTCATAGCAGGAACTCAGGCACCCACCTGCAGTACGACTTTTGCCACACATTTGCAGGGGAAAAGGCAAAACGTTTTCAATGAAGCAGTAAACTTATCAATGTCATCAACTCTCGACCCTGAACACACTCCTGTCCCATGTCGAGAAGCGTGAGGCTGTGTGAGCAGTTCTGCCGCTGACCTGAGCCTGGCTGCTCCCCGCAGGAGCACCAGTTTTCCTCAAAAGCAGTGAATAGCACTTCCTCAAAAATAAACCAAGTGAGCTGTCCTCAGGGAAAGTGCACTCAGTGGTAGCCTTCGTGCTAAGATCTGAGTGTTCAGTGAAAATGAGCCAATGTTCAGGAACCTGGATTGACCACTCCTCCTGGCACTCAGAAGACAGTCCTGAGTGTTGACTATGCAGTGAGATGGGCAAGGCTGGAAAGACATGCATCATCCAATGAGCCCATATTTCCAAATGACCAGTGTTACACAGGTCACGTGTAGACACGGGATCTATTCAATGTGCAAGACAGGCCAATGGATTTTTATGTAAGAATTACAGCTCACTGACTGTTTCAGGTGCCACATTGCAACTAAATTCAAGAGACTTCCACTTGCTGAATTTTGGTGCGGCATCAAAGAATATCCACAATTACTTTAAAAAGCTACTGAAATACCCCCTTTCCCCAATTCCGTGTCTGTGTGAGGCTGACTTTCTTCATGTACTTCAACCAAAATAGCATGTCACCAGAGAGCACACAGAAGTAGCTATGAGAACCCAGCTGACCTACTGAGCCATACAGATATTTATAAATGTTTTTAAACTTTCTCAGCTTCATCTCTAATATGGTCCATGCTGATGACACAACTTACACACACAAGAGTTTTTGGGGAGCTCCAATACTTTCTAAGACTATAAAGTGCTTGAGGACCCATACCTTTGAGGACAGCTAGGTAATTGTTTATACAGATGTAGGAAATGTTCCTCTTGATTCACAGCTGTTGACAGGACAGGGTGCCCCCTTTGTGCCTCATTGTATCGATCTAGAGGGGGAGTCGCAGTGGCTGTTTTCTCCCCCTCTCCCGGAAATGTCCAGGCCGGTTTCCTGCTAGGACCCCATCTCTGCCACATGCTCACTGACCTTCAGCTCCCCTGTGGCCACCTTGAAGACAAGCTCCACCACGCAGCCCACAGCCAGGCGGGCTGCCCCGGATGAGTGCACCTCGTTCCATATGGTGTCACTGTCCACCTGTGGAAACAACACTCAACAGTGAGACCTTGCCGTGGGCTCTTGTACCAGAGCCTGTCTCTTCCTCACCAATTACAGAACACACCTTACCGCTTTTCAGAGGCATGCCAAAAATACTAAGCAAGAAAAGAACAGTGACTGCACCAACACCAGTGTGTCTGGGTTTGCCCTTGCTGGAGTGTCACTGTATTCTCAGCTGCTCCGACACATTCAAAGCTGAGTACAGATGTCAAGGTTGCCTGATCAGTTCCTGTTTGTTTTTACTACAACTGCAGTCGAGTTAAACTAACAATTAGCAAAATGATATGTGAGAAGAATTAGAGGTCTTTCCAAATTATGGCCTTATTTTGTGCAGAACTTAATTAGAAGCACCAAATACTTGATAAGTTCTATAGGAATGGAGGCATGGAGTGGGGGTGAGGGGAGTGAAGGTCTCCCGGAATATCCTGGTGGACTGTGCACCACGCTCTGCCCAGGTGATGGCATGTCAGCCTGTTCATGGCCACTGTGTGCAGACATGTCAGGAATTTCTTTGTGTGTATTGGTTTATTTATTGAGGCCTATTAGATTTTTTAAGGCTGGGAGAGAAGGAGACAGAGACAGGCCTCAGTTTTGTGAAGAGTGTCTCCTTGTAGAACAGGGGGAGAGTGGGACAGGATTAAGCACAAAGCCCCTGGACGCTGTGCCCCATCCACATGTGCCTTGGCCACACACACTGCATGTCCTGTTTTGGGACACAGCCCTGCAAAGATTCTGAGAAGTTGTGCAGTAACATGATTGTTTATCTTTAATATAGTGTCTGCAAGTCTATATGAGAACCCTCCTCTCCAAATTCATCTCCTCTGAGCGCTGAATGCTTTGGGACTCCTGAGACAGAGGCCCAGGCAGCTGCACACTACTGAGATGTTGCTGCCAAAACTGTGCCTGCCCCTCCTGGCAGGTGTGTTCTGATGCACAGGCTCTTGCCCACCTGATTACGACACTGACTATTCATGCGGTGGATGAACTTCTTTCAAGGAAGCCTTGAAGCTGTATCTTCAAAGCCAGATGATTTAAAATAAAGTACATTTCTGAGGGGTTTGAGCCACTGCCTGATGAGTGCTACTTCTCGAGGGTAATTCTTCCCAATGACCGAACTTCTATGTTCTCTAAATAGTTTCCAAATGTCAAAGGAATGCTGTGCGCTTCCCCAACTCTCCCAGCTTTGATATTCAACTTCCAAAGCCCGGCTTCCGTGCTAGGGCACACTGCTCTGCTGTCCTCGGATGGTCCGTTCACACAACCATCTGCACCCAGTCCTGGCTGCAGAAACACCTCACTAAAATCAAAGGTGACAGCCCTTGACCGACAGCCAGTGGGGGTGGCCAACCGCTGCCTGTGCCTTCAGGAGGATGACACTTTCATGGGCAGGCCAGCCCCAAGGCTGCTCCTCTGAGGACCGAAGGCAGTTTGGGCAAAACCATTCAGGTTATTTCTCTCTACAGGTGAAGATTTGGGCTTTAGGGCCAAGTAACACAGTATGGGGAGGGAGTGAACTCACACACCATGTACTTTGAAGGTCCCTGCTCTCCCCCTGCTCACCCTGGGTCCTATACCATCCTACCCAGAGCCAACAACAGCCCCCAGCCCCACAGTGGGATACCAGGACCTTTCACTACTTCAGGGCTGGCCCTCCAGCTGCTGGCCACTAGACTGTGGATAAGCCTGGAATGGTCAGCCTCAGCCCCGAGTTCCAGAAGCATGAGGTCCTGGGGAGGGAGTGCAGCCTGGACAAATGGCCCCGTCAGGAGGCGACCCTGCTTAGAGCGAGGCAGCAATGTGCCTGTTAATTCAGGGCAGGACCCACTGCACGCAAAGAACAGAGTGGATGCAGAAGACTTTCCACAGACTGGGGTGGACAGACGAGGCGGCCCTTTAGGAGTGCAGAGCACAGGCACGGGACTCAGCACCAGGGCCCGCCAGGGGGGCATTCACCAAGTCCTCACTAAGGAAAACCTGTAATAACCAGGAGGTGAGCAAAGCAGTTTCTTTTACTGGGTTGAGAAGAGGTAAATCACCTTAGCCTCTATGTAATACAGTTAAGGAAGAATAGTTATACGCCTAGATGCTAACTTAAAGTGAGCAGCCTCTCTCACTGTTTCCTGATGTTCCCACCCACACTTGGGCTCCTAAGGTCGGCTGGACCCTGGTGCTGGAAGGAGACGCTGAGGCCCAGGAGGACTGTGCTGCACCAGCAACACAGGTAATTATGGAAACAATGGAAAGAGACACCCTGTGGTTCACTCCTAATTATCCCACAGGCTCCCCTCTACCAGTCCATGTGCTGGGACTTTTGTCCCCGAGCTTGGGGGCCTCTTGTGCCTGGGTGTGAGCTGGGCTCTGGTCAGCCTGCGGTCAGGTCTGGACTCACACTGGGGAGGGGCACCCAGCTCAAGGTCCCACTCAACTTTCATTTGTAAATTATAAGTCCTCCCTTGCCCCGTGCTAGCTGCAGGGCTGTGCGAATCCAAACCTTTTCAAGTCTGGCCAGAAATTTGCCCCGAATTAAGAGATTGCAGCCTACTTATAATTCAGAATAAAACAACTCTAGGAGGGCTTGGTGGTGGATGAATAAATGCCGCTGATTCGCTTTCTGACGGGATAATTTTCAAAGCAGCGATTTTTGTAAAGACTCAGGAAGAAAACAATTTTGTTTCATTTCCATAACAGAATCCAGACCTTGGGCTTCACCCTGAGCTCTGTAATTACACGCACACCCTGCCGCTGCGCAGTTTCAGCCCGACAGCTTTGTTGTCCACTTGGCCATTTCCCGGGCGCGGGGACCTCGTGGCCAGCAGATCGCCAGGAGGAGGCCCGGTCTCACTTTCAAACTGCAGCTCTGTTCCTGCCCCCACTTCCCTCCTCCGAGTGGGGACCAGGAGCCCCTTCTTTATTCAAGAGGCTTTGGCTGGGGAGACCCCACCTTCCCTGAACCAAGGGAGGCTGACACCCATACCAGAAAGTCCACCTAGTTCAGTGCTCACGTTAAAACTCCAGGCCCCATAAGTGTCTCCCTGACCTGATCTGATCTGCTTAAAAGCATGTCAGAGTTGGACAAGCAGTGACCACACCAAGCTGGCAGCTTCTGGAACTTCAATGGCCCTTAAACATCAGGCTTCTGCAGTCCGAGCTTCACTGGGGCTTGGGTTTGGACATTGGGACAAAGATTTTCACCACCTGAGTAGGGACGAGCAGACCTTGCTCTGCAGCTAGGAGACCAGCCCGCACACCCGATCCCGTTTCCTAAGGCAAGCCACGGTGCCAGACGACCCTCCCCAGGAAGGTGCCTGAGTCCAGCCATCAAATGCTCACAGGCTCACGGGGCCTTTGAAGCCACACGTGTGAGCGGCAGGGCAGCCCGGCTGCCAGCCCGTTTATGGAAAACACCTGGCAGCCATTATCCACTCGGCAGAGAGCGAGGCGGCGGTTTCTGTGACCACTGGGACCCTGAGAACAAACAGGACATTATTTACACATTAAAGAAATACTTACCCCGACACCGCCACAGGGCAGCCTGACAAACATGGACGTCAGCGAGCCTGCAGGAGAAGAGCCAAGGTCAGAGGGCCAAGGTCACAGGGCACAGCGTGCTGCAGGTTCCTGAAAGGCGTGGGTACCATCATACATCCCAACTGAGGGCAACCTAGTTTCAAAGATAGAACTGTACCCCCTACGCTGGGTGGCACCTGGTGGGCAGTGGGTCCTGGGCTTGCCGGACCTTCCTTAAGGCAGGAGAGGCACCCACAGGTGGGTTTTGCTTCCAGCCAGAGCTTGTGCACCTTGCGTGGCACAGCCCCATGCTCCTGAAGGCTGTGTCTGAGCAAACCTCAGTCATCTGATCTGACCTGGCTCCATGGTGAGCCTCACTGCCGCCCTAATGTTGGGTTAAGTCCCAAGAACAGACCTGACCTGGATCCACAGAGAGCTTCACCGATGACCCTAACGCTGGGTTAAGTCCCAAGGCCCCAGTAGCCCTCCCGCAGCTGTAAACAGGGAAAGGAGCTGGAATATACTGAGCCATTCAGACAAGAGGGATCTTTCTAGAATGTGAATAAAGACAGACCCCTCCCCACTGACAAATGTTTGAAGTTCACTTGGATGATGCATGAAGTTGGCCATCTGGGAAGGCCTGCCCAGCCCCAGAACACAGGAGCAAGCCTCCCCAGCCCTGTCCAGGTCACCGCCGTCAGAAGATGACCTCCTGACTTCCAGGAACACCTAGGAGGGTGACCGACCAGCCCCCTCGAGTCCACAGTGCACTGCAGCCCAGCCAAGCTGTCCCTGCATATCCGCTACACAGGTCTTGCACGGGACTCAGGAATTTGTGGATTTAATTAGAAGAGGAAGAGAAGCCACCCAGCCGTGTTTAAATACCTAATTAGGGTTAAGTTAATACCTGAGATAATCACCAGCTATTACTATGTCTGGGACACTCAGACTGACGACAGTGGCATGTCCTGGTGAGGACAACCCTCAGATTAAAATAGATCCCAAGTGGTGAGAAGGAAACCAATCAGGTGTCCTCACAGCCACATGAACAGATTTTAAAACACAAAGTTTAGCAGAAAAGAAAAAAATAAAGTGATTTATAGCATCATGGATACAAACTGCACACACTTGACGCTGCCCTGTGACTAGAGACCTCCCTGCGGCTGGAGTTGGGGTTACTGGTTTGTGCTGTGGCAGCAGGACCATAGGCCCCTCTCCCAGAAGGAGGAGACACTCCAGGCAGCGAGACCTGTGCTGAAGCAGTGACATTTCCTGGAGGATCCTGGAGACTTCGGGGACTGGGCACTGCTGGTCACGCTGTGTGGCTGTCTCCTGCATGTAGCCTCCTCGGTCAGTCCCTCCTGCTGAGGCCACTTACCCTCTCCCCACTGTCCACTGTCCTCATTTCTTAAGGTTCCTTTCTTCCAAATCCTTCCTGGCCCCAGGCTAGATGTCCTTTCCTCTGGCCCTACAATGCTGGCTCATTTCTGGACATGCTCCGCCCTTCTCTGCACCGCAGCTCTAGCTTCCACTCCATGGGTGGGCAAACTTTTTGACTCGAGGGCCACAATGGGTTCTTAAACTGGACCGGAAGGCCGGAACAAAAGCATAGATGGAGTGTTTGTGTGAACTAATATAAATTCAAAGTAAACATCATTACATAAAAGGGTACGGTCTCTCTTTTTTTTTAGTTTTATTCATTTCAAACGGGCCGGATCCGGCCCGCGGGCCGTAGTTTGCCCACGGCTGTTCCAGCCCTCCACAAGCCATGTGTCCCTCCGGAGCCTTTGTCCCCTACCTTGGCTCAGACTTCCCTGCCCTCTGCCTAAGACCCTCTCCACGACTCCGGGATGAGGGCCCTGTTCACCCCAAACACCCCCCAGAGCTGAGAGACACAGTTGCTTTTTTGGGGTGAGTAGCAGGATCATTCATATGAAGGGTATACATGATGTACATGTATAGTCTACGTCACAAACATCCTGTGACGGAGACCACATCCACATCCTCCTCCACAGGGACCAGGAACCTCTCTCTCCCCTGCTCCTGGCCAATGGTCCCCACACTTTTACTATGGTTCTACCTCCTATGTCATATCTTAAACCACAAGAGCTGAGCTTTGAAAAACTGAGTTAAGTAGCAAGAACAAAGCAGAGAACAAAAGTGCCTCTGTAGGCTGACGGCTCCCACGCCATGACAGTGGAGGGAATCTTTGGTCCACACCCTGACATCAACTTTCCCCAGGGCTCCCAAGGCATCATGGGGAACAGGGTTCAGGACAGTAGAGCATTGGGCAGGGCTCAGACCAGGCTCCTTGCAGGCAAGGGCAGGTGGCAGGCTGGGAGCTCGAGCATCTAACCTCTGCTGTCTCAGATTCTGTGAAACCAGTGGTTCCCACACTGTACACAACCAAGACTTGGAACCCCACTAGATACACAGGGTAAAAACTCCTCCTCCAGCACCTCACCTTAGAACTGGATGCAGGCCCTACAGAGAAGGCCTCTCCCTGCCTGGCTGCCTGGGCAGAGCCTGGTGGGTGACACTCACTGTCTCAGCCATAGCCTCAAGGGCCAAGGATGGGATGTCCTCCTGTGACCAGGCACAGAGCCGCCTTGAGTGAGCACAGGGCTGGAAACAGCCTCGGGCAGTAAAGTTAGGAAGGCCTCAGAATACCTAGACGTTTCTTACTGTCCAGTTTCTGCCTGTTGAGGGGGTTTGTGCCGTAGAGTAGGGTGTGTGCCTCCGAATGCACAGTCTGCAGCTCCTCCAGGGTGGCCTTCCGTCCTCGGATGCACTGTGGGGACACAAGGGAGAGGTCACTCATATTGCCCGAGTGGGCTCAGGGTCAAGGGAAAACCACCACCCAGAGGAAACTGAACTGTATACATGCAGGAGCAGAGAGTTATTTGGTTATTGCAAAATACAAAGCAAACCTCACCCTATACAATGTTTCTTAAATTTCCAGGGAGGGCTTACTTTAATTGTAACTGAAAAATGTTTAAAAAGACAATTCCATCCTTCAATGCTTTAACCTTCACTGTCACACAAATGATCTGGCATCAAATTACTACTCTACTTCCCCAGTGCCAGGGTCTGGACTGAAAACAGAGAGGATTTGCCAAGGGCAGTGGGGCTGCCTCCTGAGTTCTCCCTGAGAGGAGGCTGGGGCCCGCGTCCCCGAGCACTACCCAGTGCCAGAAAGAAGCAACCTTCTGGGGAGCCCAGAGAAACCTGAGATCGGCCTTGGAACTCCATCCATGCCTCTCCATCTGTATTTTTCTTTGTTTTAGAAATTACCCAAATCAAGACTCCAGTGCTGTTTTCAGATTTCCCCAGAAATTAACATGAACATTACTATTCTTTAGTTGAGTTATGTTTACTTGATCTTGTAGCAGGAGGGGTTGGTTTATGAGATGAGATTAAAGTTGACATTTTACACTACAGTGGTTTCTGGGAGTCAGAACACAGCCAGAGGCCCTGGTGGTGGTGGTCTGGGGACACCCTGGGCTGCCAGACAGCGTGACACTCCTGAGCACAGAGCCAGGCCAGCAGCTTCTCCTGCTCCTGAAACCCCTGGGGTGATCTGGAACTACTCAGAATAGGGCAGCTCCTCTAGAGGCCGTGCTGAAGCAGGAGGTAAAAGCAGAGGGAGCTGCCTATAAGCGGCCTGTGGCTGCCTCATTGATGGCCCAGCCTCAGCGTGGAGGAGAATAAGCTCCCAGGAAAGATCCACTCACTCCTCTTTCAGCACCATGCCGAATCCGACGCAGCAGCTCGAGCAGAGGAGCCCACCCAATAGACACCCCCACAGTCATCTGCCTAGAGCGAGGGGCCCTGGTTAGGACGCCTGGGATCCTGGGAAGTCCCTCTAACTTCTCCTATCAGGGATCAACTCCTATAAACATGTCCAGTGCCAGGCCATGTACTCTGCCATCCAGGGGGACTGTGCTGGGAGCCAGGTGTAAGGGGTGGTGACAGGGACACTGAAATCCCTTGGGCTGAGTGACCACACATCACCCTGAGCCAAGAGGTGCAGTTCAAGGTGCACAGCCCACCTGGGTCCCTGAATGAGTGCTGTGTGAAGGCCACATGTTTCCACCCAGTCTCCTCTAGACCATCGTGCTGACTCGGGTCTGACTCATGAACCACAGACCACTCCCCTCCTTGGTACCCGAGTCCTGCAGGTCTGGGGACCCACTGCAGTCATCAGTGAGAACAGGTGGGCACCCCCTATGGTGCCAAAGAAGGTGGAAAAGGGTTGAAGCTTTATTCTTCTGCATTTCATGTCTCACCCCACCTTGCTGTATTGGCTTTCCTGGCTGAGAAACTACTGCAGAGACCTCTGGCCTCCTTGACCCTCTTGGGGACAAGGAGGGAGGGACAGGAAGCTGGTCGTGGGGATTTCAGATGCCCCAGCAGCCCTATGGAGGAGGAGCAGGGCCAGGGTGGTCTGCAGGAGGAGAAACAGGTTACAGCTGTGTCTGCAGAGGCGATGCTGCCCCCTAGTGGTGAGTTCTGGCAACCCAGAACAGGTGCCAAGCTCCATTCCTCACTAGTGGTCAAGGCTCTCCAGGGCACTAGAGGACAGGATTCTGGACCGGACCTTTGTGCCCCATTTCCCTCCAAAAATCACATCAAAAACTGCAAAAGATGGGGAACTAAAGTTCCTAAACATTCCAGCTTCTGGAGGAAGAGAAAGAGGAGGAGGAGGAGGAGGAGGAGGAGGAGGAGGGACTCAAGGGGGGGACTCG